GAATTCCAGGCCAACCTGGGCTACACAGTAAGTACAAGGCCAGCCTAAACTACATACTGTTTCAAAAACCAAAATAACAACAACAACAACAATAATAAATAAATGTGGTAGAAGTTTTAAATTTCAGGTAAGTTCAACTTATCAATGGTTTCTTTTCCTAGATTATTCTTTTAATGTTATACCAAAAAAGTCATCACCAAACCAAAAAATCATCTAAATTTTCTCCTACATTATAATCTAGAACTTTTATGGTTTTACATTTGTACATTCATTTCACATTAACTCTTCTTTTTGTTTTTGAGTTGGAATCTCATTATGTTGCCTGGGCTCACCCTGAACTGCTTGATTCAAGTCATCCTCTCTAGACTACAGGTGTGTATCACCATGTCCAGCCAGATTATTTTTTTGCACGTGGATGCCTAGCTGTTCTGGTACTATTTGTTGAAAAGACTATCTTCTTCATTGCATTGTCTTTGTTTTTTAAAGATCAGTGGACTGCATTTCTGTGAATTTATTTCTGTGCTCTTATCCTATTGATATATATGACTATTATTTTGCCAAATACAACACTGTCTTAATTACTACAGCTTTATTACTAGTCTTGAAGTTAGGTAGGACAGTCTCTCTTATTCTTCAGTATCATGTTGTGCATTATAACTTTTTTTGCCTTTCCACATAAACATGTATATTTAAATTTTTATACTATATACAAATTTTATTTTATTTTTTATTTTAAAGAGAATAAAAATAACCATAACAAAATAACAACAACATAGACATAAACAAAACACACAAAAATAATAAAAATGATACAGGGTTTCAAAACAAAATGATAGGAATTAACAGTGGTTATTATATTACATTATATTCAGTGAAGTTGCTCAGATTACCAGATGTAAGAATGCAAGATTGATCAACCCATTAAAGAGAATAAAAAATAATAAAAATACATATAGAGCTTCACTAAACAAGATGGTAGGAATTCAACAATCATTGTTATATTACATGTTGTTGTCTTCAAAACAGTTGTTCAGATTACCAGATATAAGCATGCAAAATTGGTCAATAAAACTTAAGCATTAATTGTTCCCTTCAATAAACCAACAGACATCAGCAGTACAATTATCCCAGCTATTCTTGTATATATATATATATTTCCCTTCTTTCTTTCTTTTTCTCCTTTCCCTCATCCCAGTTGTTCCTTCCCTTTGAGCAATTTCTTTCCCTTTCACAATATCTATTGTACCTTTTGGGTTTTATTTACTGATTCAGGTTCTGAGAAATACAGCTGGAAAAAAATATGAAAATATGTTCAACATCATCAGTCATTTGAGAAATGCAAAGTAAAACAACACTGAGATTCCATCTCACCCCAGAAAGAATGGTTGTCATCAAGAATTCAACCAATAACAGATGCTGGAGGGGTTGTGGGGAAAAAGGAATCCTTCTCCACTGCTGGTGGGAGTGTAGATTGGTGAAACCACTGTGGAAATCAGTGTGGGGATTGCTCACAGACTAGGATTAGAAGTCCCACTTAACCTAGCTATTCCCCTTCTGGGTATTTTCTCAGAAAAACTGAAAACATCATACTACAGTGATATATGTGCACCCATGTTTATAGCAACACAATTTGTCATAGCTAGATCTTGGAAACAAACCAAATGCCCATGAACTGAGGAATGGATAAAAAAGATGTAGTATTTTTATACAATGGAGTATTATTCAGCTATAAAAAAGATAAACTCAAGGTTTTTATAGGTAAATGGATGCAACCATACTCATAAGTGAAATAAATCAGACCCACATTTGTAAACATCGTATTGTCTCCCTAATATATATAAATTTTAACTGGGATTTTTAACTGAAACTGCGTTGAATCTATATGTCAAGTTGAGAAGAGTTGGCATGCTAACAATATCGTCTTTCTAGTCATGAATTGGACTATATCTTCATTTATTTAGATCATGTTGATTTCTTTCTTTCAATTTTGTATTTTTCCTTGTATAGTTCCTGTACATACATGTGATTTGTACATAAACGTCATTATTGGGAAATAATGTAAATTGTAATGTTTTAATTAGCAATAATCTTACCTCAGATAAACCTCATTGGCTTATGAGACTGCTACTGCACGAAGCTAAATTGTAATGTTTTAAATTTCAAGTTCTAAGTATTTATTACTGGTATATGAAAGTAATTGACCCTGTATACAATAATAAGCCTGCATCTTTATATCCTTGTATAAGCATGCTATAATTGCTTGTTATTTACAAGAATTCTTTTGGATTTCTTATATATACATAATCATGTTATCTGTGAACCAAGACAGTTTTTTCTTTATTCTCAATTGGTACAACTGCAGGGGATACAGCTCAGCAGCACAAGTGCCTGCTTAGCAAGCATAAGGCCCTGAATTCAATTCCCAGTACCAAAAGTATAAAATAAAATAAAATCTTATGTGTACAGTTTTTTCTTTATTCTCAATTGGTACAACTGCTGGGGATATAGCTCAGCGGCATAAGCACCTGCCTGGTAAGCACAAGGTTCTGAGTTTAATTCCTAGCACCAAAATAAATAAATAAATAAATAAATGTTCCAGTCAATTGGTACAAGCATTAGTTCAACTTCTTATTGCATTGTTTAGAAGTTTCCAATACACTGTTAAACAGAAGTGATGAAAGAGGACATTCTCTTCTTGTTCTTGATCTTACAGGAAAGTCTAGTTACTCAGAGTGAAGGGTAAAGTTAGTGATCCTTTTTGGTACATATTCTTTATCAAGTTAAGGAAGTTTCCCTTATTCTTGGTTTACTGAGAGTTTCTTCATAACTGTGCTTAATTTGGGCATAAACTTTTCTACGTCTATTACTATGATCATGTGTTTTTTATTCTTGAGCTTATTCATGTAATGGATTAGAATGATATTTGAATGTCTAGCTAGATTTGCATATTTAACATAAATCCTACTTGCTTGTGGTATATATTTTTTATACATTGTTGGATTGAATTTACATGTTTTGTTGAGAAATTTTATGTCTATATTCATGGTAATGTTACTCTGTAGTTTTCCTTTCTAGTAATATCTTTGGTTTTGGTGTTAGAATATGCTTTCTTCCCAGAATGATTAAGAATTGTTCCTTCTGCTTCTATTTTGTGTGAGAGAATAATATCTTTGGTTTTGATGTTAGAATATACTTTCTTCCCAGAATGAATTAAGAATTGTTCCTTTTGCTTCTATTTTGTGTGAGACAATGTAGATAACTGGTATAATTTCTTCTTTAAATGTTTTGTGTGGATGTAGAGTTGTCCATAATAGTCTTTGATTTTCTTTGTAATGTCTCAGGGATTAGAAAGGATGATCTTTTTTCATTTCTAGGATTAGTAATTTGTACTCTCTCTCTCTGGTTAGATTGAGGAGAGTTTTAGCCATTTTAACAAAAACATTTTTAAAAATTTGCTTGTGATCGCATTGATTTTCTCAACTACTTATTTTTAAATTTTACTGATTTCTAATCTAATTTTTATTATTTCTTTAGATTTATGTTGGTCTTCTCTAGTTTCCTAAGGTAAAATCTCAGATTATTTATTTTTATAACTCAGATTATTCCTTTTATAATGTATGTATACTCAAGGCCAGACATACCCTCTAAGTCTTGTTTTTGCTGTTTGCCACAAATTTTGATAAATTGTATTTTTATTTCATTCAAAGTATTTTTAAATATTTTAAGAGTCCTTTGACTTATAAACTATTTAAGAATGTTGTTTATTTCCCAAATAGTCTAGGATTTCCATCTATTTTTTAGTGATTTTTAGTTTGATTTTATTGTGTTCTGAGAACACACTTTGTTTGCTATCTCTTCTTTTAAATTTGTTAATATTTGCTTCGGGTCCCAGTACATAGCTCATTTGGTGAATACCCATAGGGTTTTTTGTTTTGTTTTGTTTTTTATTTATTTAATTTAATTTAATTATTTATTTATTTATTTTGTCTTTTTCAGACAGGGTCTTGCTATGCAATTCAGGCTGGCCTTGAGTTCACTTCATAGCCCAGGCTGGTCTCGAACATCCTCCTGCCTCAGCCTCCCGAGTGCTGGGATTGCAGGCGCCCAGTCCCCACAGGGTTTGAGAAGAATGTATATTCTGCTGATTGTGGGGAAAGCAGTCTAAAAATGTCAATTAGATCAAAATGACGGATGTACTGTTCAGCTCAGTTATATCCTTGCTGATTTCCTGCCTGCCAAATACTGTATGTCAAGTGCTGATAAGGGGATGTTGAAGCCTACAACCATGATAGATCTCCTTACAATTCTGTTAGTTCTTGTCTCACATATCTTGACTCACTTTTAAATACATAGTTTGAGGACTGTTATGTCTTTCTGAAGAATTTCCCAATGATAGGTTTCTGCCCATAAAAAATTCTACCATGGCGCGCGTCCCAAGGAGACGACGCGTCCCACCCGAACTGGCTTCCGCCTGCTTCCTCTCCCCACCTGACCACGGCTTCCTGTTTTCTTTTGGGCGTTGCACATGCGCGTCCACCCTTTCCCAGTCGGTGCCCATAGCGTCCCCTAAATCGCCTCCATTTACTCCTCCCCCAACCTAGCCCCAAATAATCTTTGTTCCTGGCTTCCTCCCTCAGAAGGTCCTTGGGTCTCTTAGCAGCCTTCGCGAGCCCGGCAATAAAGGCTTCCTTTATCTTTGTTCAGTCTCTCACTCGTGCCAAACCTAACACCCACTCTACAGTTACATTACCTTATTTATTATTATTTTTTGTTGTTGTTGTTACCCGGAATCGAACTCAGGACCTTGAGCTTGCCAGGCAGGCCCTGTGCGGCTGAGCTATAGCCCTGGCCCACATTATTTATTCTTGATGATTTCTTCTTGTTCTGAAGTTGGCACTGTCAGAAATTAAAATATCCACTCCAGTTTTCATTTAATTATTGTTAGCATGGTATATCTTTCTCCCATTACCTCTAATCTGTGTTTCAATTTGGAGTTTCTTGTATACAATTGGAGCTTACTTTTTATCACTGACAGTTTGTCCTTTAATTGGTACTTCAATCATTAATATTTTAATGAACTGTTAACATTACTGGCTTAATATCTACAATGTTTATAAAGTTTTCTATTTATTGCTATTATTTTGCTTCCTTTTAAGAAATCTTGACTCTCTTCCCACCTTTCTGGTTTTAAGTGCGCATGTTATAATCTCATTTTCTCTTTTTTCTTAGCACACTATTTATGCTTCTTTTTTAAAAAGTAGTGGTTGCCCTATACTCGAGTTTACAGTATACATTTGCCACTAATCTACTTTCAAACACTACTGCTTCCTGGGTGTTGTATGTACTTTCAACAGAGTTTAAATAAAACTGCAGATAGTGCACCTCAGCACTATGCTTAGGACCACTGTGTAAGGTGAAATCACCAACAAAAAAGCACAAAAATTGAGAAACATGGCACTTATTTACAGTATGGGAATTGAATCAAAGCAACAGGGTAATCTTGCTCCATCTCAGCTGGGAGCATGTGCGCTGGACAAGTCATTTTCACTGATCTGCACAGATAGATGAAGGACTGAGAAAAAGCCACAAGTATGTACTGATTTGGGGATTACAAATAAATCTTACAAATCTGTAAATATATATTTACCAAACCCACAAAGTGAGGATCAGTGATTGTACTTGTAGAATTGTTAATCCGATGTTATCTTATAACAAACATTTGTAAGTTATGATTATTAGCAAGTGTCCTCAACTATTGTGATTCTGAACTACACAAGGCAGGGAATTTCTATGTAAAATACATAAAGGTTAAAACATATGTATGACTAATACACATACCTCTGTGGATTTTCCTCTTATATGAAGACTCACTAGAGATTTGGGGAGGTAAGGGTCTTCGAAGAAGCTGTGGATACTGCGGCTGCATTTCAATGAATAATAAGCGATGTTTTTCCTAACTACCGGTCAAGAGAGGACTGAAAAGTTTTTGAGTATGTTTGAATTGTGGCTGAAAAAGAATTTATTAGAATTTAGATTATATATTTAAAATCATTCTGTATTAATACTATCCTTTAAATTGTTTTAAATCAATATCGTTGGGGCATTACCATGTAATACAAAAATCAGACAGGGCTCAATACAACGAGATTTTCTAGGATCGCTGGGATTCCCATTTACTGCTGCTTAGAATGATGAAAAAAGATGCACCCCCGAACGCGCGTTTAGCTTGCAGGGCAGCCTGAGAAGTGTCTGGCACACTTGTACTCCGTTGACAGCTGGAAGGGAAGCTGGGACTGCACAAATGGGACTTTTACCATCAAAAGATAACTTTGCCCACAAGCGCTCAAGATTTGCGCCCTGGAGGTACCTCCCACTCGATGCTGACAATTTCTTTCCCGAGTATCAGAAGAGATGCCTGGAAGCTCTGGACTCCTACACTATCAGCTGCTTCTCAAACCAACCGGGTTTCATCTTCCATCTCCTCCTCGGAGTTTAGAACGCGAGGTAAAGGAGTGAAGTCGCAGGGCAGAGAAGCGCCCACCAACCAGCAGCAGACCCTAGCAACCAGCAAGGCCAGGCGCTGAACCCGCCCCGCTCCTGGGAGGCGCAGGCGCTGAAGGGGCCGGTGGGAGAGGGGAGAGGGGGCGGGGGGCAGGACCGAGCAGGGCCGGTGGGCGGGGCCGAGCGGGGCCGGTGGACGGGGCCGGTGGGCGGGGCGGAACGGGGCTGGTGAAGGGGGCTGGGCGGAGGCTGGGCTGAGCTCCGAGGTAGGCGGGGCGGGGAACGCGGACAAGGCGGAGCGCCAGGCGCGCGCCGGAGGAGGACGGCGCAGGCCCCGCCCACTGCGCAGCGCTCGCGGGCCGGGGCGGTGCCTGGTGCTGGGGACGATGCGCGCGGTGGGGCAGGAGGAGAAGCCGCTCCGCGTGCAGCTGCTTACGGAACGCGGTGACGATTATTGCTGTTCTTATTCTTAATGACAGTGGCCGCTGTTTATTTACTTTTCTCGATGACAAGTGCTTAACTAGGTATCTAGTCTGGGCTGGCGTTCTTTAGTAACGATGCACTTTTGCGCAGCCGGGTCCCGTTGCTCGTTTGGCAGTGCTCCGGAAAAGTGAACATTCTGATTTTCTCTTCCTTTGATGCAACCTGGTTTTTTGGTTTTGTTTTGTTTCGTTTTGTTTTTTGGTTTCTTGATGCAAAATTCCTGATTGAAGAGTAGCTGTGTATGAACAGGTGGTTTAGGGAAGAATTCAAGCGGGGTTTAACCAATACCCATTTTTTCACTGTTACGGTCGCTTGTTCTGATGATCGTTTCGTGACTCCTCTCTTCTGCCGTGGTATGAGGAACCTGTATGCACAGTGACAGATACATGTGTATGTTGTGTGTATGCTCCTGTTTCTCTGGAGCTTGAGGGAGAAAGAGCATTAGAAAGAACTCATTAGGTAGAAGTAGAGATCTCAACCAGAAAGTAAGCGAAGTGAGGCTTCCTTCCAGGTTGCCAACCCACCCCGTTTACATTTGAGTACATTGCCTGTGAGTACAGGAGCTTTAATAATACATAGAAAATGAGAGACCTCCATGGAAGCATCCTTCTAGCTTTTGGAATCTTTCAAGTTTCACTCCTTAATCAAGTCTTCCTTTCTCTCCTTAGGGAAAGCCACTATTTTAAAACAATGAAAAAAAAGTGGAATAGTGAAAAAAAGACTCTGGAAAATATTATGCAAATTGCTTTCCTTTCAAATTAGCGTTTAGTTTATTTTCCTTTTAAGATTAGTTTGCTCTTGATTATATAGGCCAGACCATGAATTTATTACGTTTGTCTGTGTCTGTATTGTAGATTGATGAGCTTCTCAAAAAGCCAAGAAAGCGGATAGCCAAAGGCAGATCTGATGGCCGGGTTTTGTTTCAAGAAGTGTATATTGTGTATATTTTGTAAATGTGAAAAAAATATTTGTAGAGCATAAAGAAAGGTATATGTGTCGATATGTACAGTCAAGTTCCTTATACTCTTAAAAGTCGTTTGGATCGTGAGAATTACTGGAATTCAGTTTTACTGACCGATGCTTGGCTTTAAAATTTATGTTTAGTTTGCATAGTAAAAATCAAGGCAAAACATTTCTCTATAATTTTTCAAAAATGCTTTGTCACACATAGAATCAGCAAGCATCAGTCTGCATTCCTTGTAGATTCCTTTTACAGTACCAGCTCAGGTTGTGAGGCCATTTAACATGGACTCTTCTCAGGTGTGAATGTTTTGTCTTCTACTATTACTACCATTTAAGCAAATTAGATAATTTTTATGAAAATGAAGTCCACAGCTTGGTATATTTTAGGTGTATGTCCCAGTTATTCTAACCCATCTTACATGCCTTATCTATGGAAATGTTACACAAAAGTAAGATGGATTTTGAAGGCACAAACCAGTCAGTTGGATTGTTTTTCTGCTTTTTAGATTTTCTGTTATTTTTGAGACTATTACTAGCTCCATTTTCTCCTTTTAAAAAATAATTAGTGTATGTCTCTTTAATGTAGCACCGCTTTTATTTTAAGGGCCTGCTTTATCTGATGTTTGGTACAGTCAGGCTACTTATTTGGCCCATCAGCTTTGCAGTTTGGTAGAACCACCTGAAGAAGCTTGTCAGATTGAACCACAGTACTTGCACTCTATTAGGAGATTGATTAAGGCGGTCAGAGTAATGGTAAGCACCAAGGTTACAGACGTCCTGCATCTTTTTTTTTTTTTTCCTGTGTTGCTAAAATGAGATAAAAGCCTTATGCAAAAAGCAGCTTTAGCCACCAAGGCAGGTAATGCTATTGATTTCCCTAACGAATAGGGTGTGTTCTCAGGAACCTCAGATTTGCTCCTGGTGAAAGGACACAGCTTTGTTGGAGTAATGTAAAAAATGTTGCTAGAAATCATCATCATTTCCCATAGACTTCTATCCTCTTCATTTATTTTCCTTTTAAATGGAACAGAAGTTTGCTAAACAGTTTGGCCAATGTGGGTTTAATCTAAGATTTTACTATGTGGAAATAACTGAAATAATTTGTGTTTTATGCTCATATTTGTATTTTAAGATTCCTTTAACGAATGGTTACTTTTGAGTGCATATTTGTTCAATATTGAGTCCCCAGGGTAACCCAGAGTGCTTTAATGCTTTCGAGAACGAGGTGTCTTCTTCGTCTTATGTTTACCTGTTTATATGAGTTCTGTGTGCTGGGAAAGTCTTTTCTTTTCACCAGTAATAGGGGCTTAAACCCATAAATCTATGTCAAGTGTCCTTATGCTCTTGTCTAGAGAACAGTTTTATATTTTCTCAAATGTTAATAAAGATATTTGGAAGACAACTTTTCTCTTTATACCTCATGGCTCACCACAAGACCAAACTTACATTTGCATGACATGCTACATCTTCCTTGTTACTTTGAACTAAACTGCAGGCAGGCCCAAGGACTTAGTATTCTCAGCTCCCAAAGCTGTGCACATTAAGAAAAACTTGATTCTTCACTAGTTTTGGCCAGTTACTTCCTTTTCCTCTTCAAGTTGATGGTTCTTTCTTCTCCTCTGTTTGAACTAGATATTATGGGATTTCTTTTAAGAAAATATTACCAATAAGGAAATGACTTTCAACCTGCATCATGGAACATGAAAAAACCAAATATAGCAAAAGTGTCTTTAAAAGTGTATTTATGAATTCAGTCACTGGTTCTAGAATGATATATTAGACATCTATTATACATAAGACACTTTGCTAGGTGCTAAACTTTAAACTTTATTAAAACAATTTATGTTTAATTTGAGCCTTTATGAATTTAGACATTAAAATGAAATTTTAAATCCTATAACTACTTGAGGGTGTTTTCAATTTTTTGATGTTAACATGTATTTATTGAGGGGCTGGGGATTTAGCTCAGCGGCAAAAGCGCCTGCCTGGCAAGCGCAAGGTCGTGAGTTTGGTTCCCGGTACCGGAGAAAAAAACCAAAAAAAACAAAACATGTATTTATTGAGATGAAAGATCCAATATACTCCATCATGTGAGGTTTTTTCTACAACTTTTTTATTATGTTTTTTGGGGAAAACAGTATGTATTTATTTATACTATCCCATATACTTTTTGTGCCTTCTTAGCTATAGTGATCATTTTAGAATATTTGCCTGCAACTAGCTGATATTAGATATTTGTGTGTTGTGTGATTGATTCCACCAAAAAAACTAAGTCATATTTGTTTCCTTGATGTTCATTTGACTAAGCAGCATTGTCTTCAGTGCTGTGAGTTATGGAATGTCTGCTCTTTAAGCATGAACAATACTTGTTACTTGCTATGTGGAAGACACCTTGGTCAGTGTTGACTTTATGTTTTATCTCACTCCACAGTTATCACACTGTTTCAGTAAAAGACATCGTAGCATAGCTCAGTTCATCTGGATTCAGATCCCCCTGTGGCCCCTTGTTGTGTGCTCTTGAGCAAGCTGTCCAATGTCTGTACACCTTTGTAGTTTCCTTACCTGTAAAATTGGGTGGAGAGTGGCGGGAAATGGTATGTAACTCAAGGCCTTCTGAGGATTTATATTTACTTTTTTTTTTTTTTTTTCTGGTACCGGGAATCGAACTCACAATCTTGCGCTTGTCAGGGAGGCGCTGTGCCACTGAGCTAAATCCCCAGCCCCTGCCTTCTGAGGATTTTAAGACATAATCTATGTCTAGGTTTAGTTCTGTGCTGGCTACAGAGCAAATGCTCAGTAGATATCAGTTATTAGAAAACTAAATTAAGAAGCCAATAACTTGGGTTTCCTACCTCCACAGTCCCTGCTTTCTGTGATGGTAGTTGATACTCATGGAAACCCTGGGCATTTCCATCATGTCTCACATTTAGTTTGCTGATACCACTGAACATTAGAGGATCTAGTGTGCAGGTTTCAGCGACACACAGGCAGTGTGCTACGAAGTGTCCCACATTCTGTCACTGGTCCCTGTACTCTGGGTTGCTTAGGAATGGTGGCACAGTGGATGCCTAAAGAGTCCAAGTACACTGAGGTGTCTGAAGAGGCCTTGACATTTTATTTGTGTTTGTGAGCTGCTGCTAGCATTGATTGAGCTGGGCTAAATCCATATGAATTTCAGTGAGTGAGCAGGGTTGAAAGGTGTTTTGTTCTGTGCCTCCCAGGCCAGGCTGAGAACTTAAGCAAAAAGGCTGCAATGTGGATCTCCTTTGAATGGCTATTGGATAAGGTGTTATAAAAATATATAATCTTCAAGTTTTTCTTAAGGTGCACAGCTTTGGGAGCTGAGCATACTAAGTCCTTGGGCCTGCCTGGAGTTTAGTTCGAAACTAACAAGGAAGATATAGCATGTCATGTAAATGTAACATGAGCTACGTGGCCTCAATTCAGCCCTGAAAAAATGCCTGCAGCATTTAGAAATGCTTTGCAGTGATTTGTGTTTTATTCTCATGCTAATAGAAATGTATGATCTTACACAGCAGATACAATGGTTTGTTTTT